CAAGTGCTCATACCAAACTCAAACAACATGACTTGTTTCTAAAAGTTTGATTATTTTAGTTAATTCAACACTCTACTGTCTAAATCTGTAAATGTTGATTTTATTACACTGATAATGTCCAGAAAAGTTGGAATTGAACCTGCATTGAGAATGAAAGTGGAGATTGAATTTACCGACAGTGAAAATTAGATTTTTGACAACGTAGGAACAAATTTAAACAATATGTAAGACATGAAATACCCATACAGTGCTCATTCGTAACCAATTCTTCTTTTTATTCTCAGCTTTAGAGACTTGATTTTACCACAAACTGCGATTTAAGGATGTGCAACTTAGATGCCATGTTGAAGAACTTCCCAAATCTGTTCATGTCTCCTTTGAATTGTTTCCCCGTTGAGTTACACATCCTAAAAACTTGTAGTCGTTTCAACAATTCACATTCAGTAGAGACGTTTCTACTTTTTCTGATTATGTGAATCACATGAATGTTTTAGCTCTTTTGACCCTGAGAATTGTGTCCACTTGTAGGAGCTACAAATCTGAGCGTATTCCTCTGAGATCCTCCCTCTAAAAGGATAGAATAGTGAAGTGTCAAGTAAAAATGTGAAGACATGAATAAACTAATCTTCTTCCTTTGCATTTCCCATCTGCAGCACCTGATACTGCAGGAGGACCGGAGCTGCATCCTGAAGCTGTCCCTGGAGAAGCTGAGGTTCCTGGAGGACCCCGAGGCCTACCTGCGGCGCTCCGTCCTCATCAACAACCTGCTGCGGAAGATCCACCATGAGGAAGAGGAGCTGGAGGCCGAAGAAGAGGAGGAGGAGGAAGAAGATGAAGTAGAAGAGGGAGAGGAAGAAGAAGAAGAGGAAGAGGAGGAGGTGATTGGAGAGAGGGGGCAGCGGAGGCTGTTGTACCCGGACAGGAAGAGGGTGAAGGTGCTGGTGATGGACTGCCGCTCTCCGGGCTTCGGCCTGGAGGAGCTTCAGCGCTACCGGCTGGTGCCCTGTTACCCGTCAGCCGGATGCCTGTACAGTCTGGGTACCTGCCCAGGTCTCGCCCCCAACCATCAGGTCCTTCTGTACAACCTGGACGACAATGGATGACTGCCTCTTTTCAACGTTGGGAAATGCAACGTCAGTTCATGTTAACGGCACGTGGACAAAATCTACCCGGAGGAAAGCTTTCCCCTCAGGGTTTTCCACTTAAAGACCTTCGAGGGACATGTGTTGTGGGGTCTGTTTTGTTCGTTGCCAGGATGAGTCCCCCTCTCGAGGCAGCGGTGGATCTGAGAAACCCTGATTCTTCTTCTGCCTCAGGATCAACAGGGTCTCTGATGTCAAACTCTGTTGCAGCGTCACTGCCATTCACTCTGAAGCAGGAAATGGATTTTATTCTTGTCTTGTTTCTGTTGCTGTTGATGTTGTGTTATTGTTGCTCATGTGAACCGTGAGCGTATTCAGGGATTTACAGACTGCAGGCTACTTTTTAATGCACCTTGGCTTGCGTGGAGAATATGCGCTGATATGCTTCTGTTATCTTTTTATGCTACGGTGTGATTTATGAAATATTCTGTGTAAACATTCCCTGGACCGTGTGAATTGTCATGCCATCTCAAGATATCCTCTGAGGTGCTTTACTGCCTGTGGGAAGACTGTTTCTCTCTCTGTATTTGACGTCCTGTGTTCATTTTGCATCACTTTGCTGCCCTCTGCTGGTGAAAAATTCCCGTACAACTACATTATATTGTATTATGAACCATATTAAGTGTTTATATAGTGCTTATAAATAGTTAAGGTTAAAGTTAAGTTTAACCTAAAAGGGCAATCATGTTTTTGTTGTTGTTTTCCCTTGTCAGTTTTTACTTTATTGTGGTTTTAAAAAAAGGAAGATGGCATCACTTCTCATTGTCTTCAGCTCTAAGAAGTCACAACATTTTTTTCTTTCTGCTACCAAATCATTTGTTTGTGAATGATTTCCCGCAATGTGCTGTTTTTAAAATGAATTTCAGAGAGCAGAATGTCTTTAAATTGATATTATATTCCAGATTTTATCAGTCCGGGTTATAACAGCCGCTGCAATGCTGTCACAGGGACGTCAGAAGATATTTTATTATTTAATGTGGCACAATGTTTGCTTTATAAAGCTGACTAATCTGCTGTTAGACAACAGTGATTAATGATTCATCCGTTTCCAGTGTCTCTGTATGTGTTTTGAGTCTCTGTCCAGGAGTTTCACTGGGTTTGAAAACTTGTATCTTGATAACAATCACTACAATGGAAAAAACAACAACAACAACAAACTGCAGGCAACTATCAAAGAGAAGCTTGATATTTTAAAACAAGAATTTATATTTTGATGAAAGTGCATATTCCATATTTAAGATAAACTATTTTGAAAAAGGGCCATTCAACTTTTTTTCAGGTGATTGATTATCAAATAAAGTATGTAAGGTGAACATCTTTGTGTGTTTTAATGCATCTTTGTGTAGTGATACAAGTAGTAACAGATATATTTACACATCTATCTATCTATCTATATAGTCCTACTATCTATCTTGTATGCTATGCTACTTAGTGTTCATAAGTTGTAATTTGTACTCAGTATTTCTGTTTGGTCTCTGTGCTTTAGGGTTGATTATTTAAAGATTAAGAATATGTGAAAGGGGTTGTGCCAGCAACATGAGTGATGTACAAGCGAAGCGCGGCACGTGTACGTTCGTTACGACTACGTCTGAGCTCGTCGTAGTTGTACGTGCGCGCCGGAAGTACTGTTGCCTTCAAGTGCTCATACCCCAAAAACTCAACTTTAGAGCTTAAGTCTAAAACGTTTCAAAATAAGTATCCAGATAAAACAAAACATCCCTCTGGAACCAGAAATAATGGGCATGAAAGGCATCCCTAGAGACTCAACATCAGTACAATGCAGTGACTAAAAGGGAACTCTACGAGGGCACTTATCTTGTTTGTACCTCGTACCATGGAACATCCTTCTTAGATCCTACATCCTCAAGATAATCCAAAAAGAGGGAGCTGAGGCGGGCTGAATGAGGCCTGGGTACCGTGGTGATCGCGCCCATCTAGTCAGTTATTCTGTAGAAACCCAACACCCCTCTTGTTTTTTTACCACGGCTGTAAACATGTTATTTCGCTGTAGTTCAGCATTTACACCCACCTACTTGGGAGCCAGCTTGTGGCCATTAGAGGAGACGTGCATTTTGTTGACGTACACCGTTTCATTTGCGAGCCGCGGGAGGGCAGTGTGAAACTGATAGTATTATAGCCTTTTGGTTTGCTTTCTGCACATAGCTGGCAAGCACATAGGCTACTCTCTGATATTGATCAGTTCAGTTAATGACCAGCTACATACATCAGATAACCGAGCTCAATTGTTGGACACATAATCCATGGATGAAGATAGCAGCACAATATTCGAAAATGTATGGCAAACAATAGCATAGATTTCCAGTAT